GGGATCCCTTGAACTCAGGATTTTGAGACCACTCTGAGCAAGAGCAAGACTCTGCCTCTACTAAAAACAGAAAAAAATTAGCTGGATATAGTGGCACATTCCTGTAGACCCAGAGCTGAGGCTCCAAGAGGATTACTCAAGCCCAGGAGTTTGAGTTTGCTGTGAGCTATGATGCCATGGCACTCTACCCAGGGTGATAGAGTAAGACTGTCTCAAAAAAAGTCTCAAAGAGATACTTATACACCCATGTTCATAGCAACATAATTCTCAGTAGCCAAAAAGTGGAAGCAGCCTAAGTGTCCCATCAATGGATGAATGTATGAAAATGTGGTAGTATGTATATGTGTATGCAGTGAAATATTCCAGCCTTAAAAAGAAAAATTCTGACGTCTACTACAGCATGTTAAGAATTAACTCAGTGTAAGACCTGATCTTTGTCTATAGCAGTCTAGAAACCAAATCATACCATATATTCTTTGCCCTTAGGAATCGAATGCTTTGAAGAATAAGAAAAACTCTCGACGAGTCAGCTTTGCAGATACTATAAAGTAAGTTGAAAGGAGAAATAATTAAAATGTTACAGGTAGGGCGGCGCCTATGGCTCAGTGGGTAGGGTGCCAGCCCCATATACCAAGGGTGGTGGGTTCAAACCTGGCCCCAGCAAATTGCAACAACCACCACAACAAAAAAAATAGCTGAGTATGTGGTGGGCACCTATAGTTCCAGGTACTCTTGCTGAGGCAAGAGAATTGCCTAAACCCTGGAGTTGGAGGTTGCTGTGAGCTATGATGCCACATCACTCTACTGAGGATGATAAAATAAGACTCTAAAAATAAATAAATAAATAAAATGTTATAGGTAATGCTTTACTGTGTGACAAACCAAGTATGTTGGTACTAATTTGGATGATCTGTATTTCAATTAGATAAACCTTAGAGAGTTTTTATTTAAGAGGGTATTATTCAGTATTATGTTTAAAAAAGAAAACAGACTGGGTACAGTTGCTCAAGCCTATAATCCTATCACGTTGGAGGCTGAGGCAGGAGAATTGCTTGAGGCCAGGAGTTGGATGATAGCCTGAATACATAGTGACACCGTATCTCCACAAAAAGTAAAAAAATAAAGTAAGATAAAACTTTTTATTTATTCATTTATTTATTTATTTTATTTTGAAGCAGAGTCTCACTCTGTTGCCCAGGCTAAAGTACTGTGATGTCATAGCTTACAGCAACCTCAAACTCCTGGGCTCAAGTGATTCCCTGCCTCAGGTTCCCTAGTAGCTGGGACTATAGATATACACCACCATACTGGGTTTGTTTTTCTATTTTTAGTAGAAACAAGATCTCATTCTTGCTTAGGCTGGTGTCAAATTCCTGAGCTTAAGCAATCCACACGCCTCAGCCTCCCAGAGTGCTAGGATTATAGGCATGAGCTTGGCTTAAAATAAAACTTTTTTAAAAAGAGGAATAAGATTTGGCGCCTGTGGCTCAAGTGGCTAAGGCGCCAGCCACGTACACCTAAGGTGGTGGGTTTGAATCTAGCCCTGGCCGCCAAACAACATTGATGGCTGCAACCGAAAAGAAAAATAGCCAGGCTTATGGCGGGCACCTGTGGTCCCAGCAACTTGGGAGGCAGAGGCAGGAGACTCGCTTGAGCCTAGGAGTTGGAGGTTGCTGTGAGCTATGCCATGGCACTCCACCCAGGGGGACAGCTTGAGGCTCTGTCTCAAAAAAAAAAAAGGAATAAAATAGTGATTAGGTTAGAGCTCATTTAAAAAGCCACAATAGATTTTAATATGCTACATAAATTTTGGTATTTGAGATATAAATAGTATGTGATATAGCAGAGAGAAAACTGAAATCTTAAGTGTTATTTTTGCCTATCTCAACATAGACTATAAATTAACACCAAAAAATTCTAATTAAAAGTTACAGAGTTTCAGTCATCTGTATTTTCTCTTCCAGGGTATTCCAGACAGAGTCTCATATGAAAACAGTGAAAAAGTCAGAAACGACAGGTAAATTTGTTACTGTAATTTTTGTTAAATATGTTTTCTTTAAAATTTTACTGTGCCTATCTAACTAGATAACTTTTTTTTTTTGGAGACAAAGTCTCACTTCATCACCCTCTGTAGAGTACAGTGGCGTCACAGCTCATAGCAACCTCCAACTCCTGGGCTTAGGTGATTCTCTTGCCTCAGCCACCGAGTACCTGGGACTACAGGTGCCAGCCACCACACCTGTCTATTTTTTTGTTACATTTTGGCCAGGGTTGGGTTTGAACCCACCACCCTCGGTATATGGGGCAGGTGCCTTACTCACTGAGCCACAGGCACCACCCACTAGATAACTTATTGACTATCTTTTTGTTGTTGTTGTTTTATCTTATTGGTGTTTTGTTTTGTTTTTGAGACAGAATGTGACTTTGTTGCCCTCAGTAGAATGCTATGGTGTCATGGCTCACAGCAACCTCCAGCTCTTGGGCTTGGGTGATTCTCCTGCCTCAGCTCTGGAGTAGCTGGGACTACAGGCACCTGCCTCAATGCCTGGCTATTTTTTCATTGCAGTTTGGTGAGGCTAGACCCCTACTCCTGAGCTACAGGCGCTGCCCTAATCTTATTGTTTTAAAAGTATACATTGAATCATGGATGTGGAGAGTAGATAGTAATTTCTTTTTTTAAAATTCTTGTTAATATCCTTATATAATTTTTCTAATGCCTTATCAGTGTATCCTTAAACAAATTTAACTTTTATTTTATTTTTAGAAACAGAAGCAAGAGAAAATGTTCTGTTTATACAGTAAGTAGGAGAAATGTTCAAATAATATTTTAAAAGTTATAAATTAATATTCTTTTTTAAAATTTTCATGTCCCTTTTGTGAAATACTTAGGATTAATTCAGAAAATAAATTATTTGCAGAATTTAGTATATCTGATAAATATGGGCATTTTTCAGTTTATAGTTTTAGTAGTGATAAAACACTCTGCTTTCATATATAAATCCTTATATTCATCAGTTAGTATAAAACAATAAATAGCAAGTCTTCATATTTGTTTTATTAAGTTAGTTTTTCTTATTATAATGTTAATACCTAGAAAAGTAATACCAGTATCTCTTTAACAAATGAAAACATGTTTTTGGCCAGGGTTGGGTTTGAACCCGCCACCTCCAGCATATGGGACTGGCACCCTACTCCTTTGAGCCACAGGTGCCACCCAATGGTTATTTTTATTTATTAAAAAAGAGGTAAAATTTAGACTGCTGAGGTATTATTTTCTATTTAATCAGTTAAGGATATAGATGAAAAGTATAGTATAAATTGTAGAAAGCAATTTGGCACTATCACTTAAAATTTCAAATGCACTTACTCTTCAATTCACCAATTTCATGTCTGGGAATTTATCTCACCAATATACTTTTAAATTTTTGAAATGATGAATATATAAGATTATTCCCTGTAGCATTTATTATGATAATAAAAGTTGTGAAAGGTCCTAGAGGTCCATCTAGTTGGGACTAGTTAAGTAAACTGCACATCTTCGATATAATTCACTACTATACAGCTAGGAAAAAAATACTCTCTTTTTATACGTACTAAATAGAAAAATCTCTATGCCATATGGCTTTGGATAAAAAGCAAGATGCAAAACAAAGTATGTAGTATATTTTCACTTGTATAAAGGGATACAAAGAAAAATGTGTGTGTGTAAATGTGTGCATGTATATTTGAATAAATATCTCTGAAGAAACTAGTAAGATTGCCTATGGAAAAGAGAACCTTGCAAGAGAATACATGTTGGTTTTGTGGTTTATTAATTTTGAACTATGTAAATATATTACTTATTAAATTTTATTAAATTAAAATAGTTGAAATGGGCTGGGTGCAGTGGCTTACACCTGTAATCTTAGCATTTTGGGATGCTGAGGTGAGAGGATCTCTTGAGACCAGAAATTTGATACTAGCTTGAGCAACATAAGGGGACCCCATCTCTATAAGAAATAGAAAACTTAACTGGGTGTGGTGGCACACATCTGTATACCCAACAATGTGGGAGGCTAAGACAGGAGGATGGCTTGAGCCCAGGAGTTTGAGGTTGCAGTGAGCTGTGATTACACCACTGTACTCTAGCCTGAGCAACAGAGAGACCTTGTCTCAAAACAAAAATATTATTGAAATAAAGAAATGGAAACCAGGTGCAGTGACTCATGCCTATGATCCTAGCACTTTGAGAGGCTGAGATGGGAGGGTCCCTTGAGTCCAGGAGTTCAAAACCAGCCTAGGCAATACAGAAAGATTTTGTCTCTATAAACAATTAAAAAAGAAAAGAAATGGAAGTGATAGTAGTCATAGTTTCAAAAAAGTACAGAAGTAAATAAATTGAAAAATAAATATTAAGGCTGGGCATGGGATCACACCTGTAATCCCAGTACTTGGGAGGCTGGGGTGGGTGGATTGCCTGAGCTCACAGGTTCAAGACCAGCCTGAGCCAGAACCAGACTGTGTCTCTAAAAAAAAAAAAAAAATACCTGGGGGTTGTGGCAGGTGCCTGTAGTTCCAGCTACTTGTGAGGCTGAGGCAAGAGAATTGCTTAAGCCCAGGAGTTTGAGGTTCCTGTGAGCTATGATGCCACAGCACTCTACCAAGGGTAACAAAGTGAGACTCGGTCTCCAAAAACAAAAAAGAAAAGAAAAATAAATATTAAAAAGTAAAAATTGGCTGGGCACGGCAGTGTGTAAAAATTATCTCTTTCTGTCAGGTGACCAAGTGGTCTACTCCTGAATGATAATTTATGTTGATAATTTGGGGTGTCCTTGCAGAAATTTTTTTTTTGTAGAGACAGAGTCTCACTTTGTTGCCCTTGGTAGAGTGCCGTGGCGTCATACAACTCACAGCAACCTCCAACTTCTGAGCTTAAGTGATTCTCTTGCCTCAGCCTCCTGAGTAGCTGGGACTACAGGCGCCCACCACAATGCCTGGCTATTTTTTGGTTGTAGTTCAGCTGGGACCGAGTTTGAACCTGCCACCCTCGGTATATGGGGCTTGCACCCTACTCACTGAGCCACAAGCACCACCCACAAATTTTTTTATATATATTCAAGTTTATGTTTAGCATTTGTTTTTTTAAATAAGACAAAAATGAGATCACTTAATATGTCTTTTAGCACTATCCATGTTATTATATAAAGATGAACTCAGTCTGTTACAATCTATTGGTATGTCTTACCAACATACAAGCAAATGTTGGTATGTCTGTACCAACATTAGTCAGCTTCCTATTGATGGAAACTAGGATTTTTTCCATTTATTTACTTATTTTAAGGCTAAATTTCTAGAAAGTGAACTGCTATAGAGTTCATTCTTTCCTTTTTTTATAAGCATGTATTATTAATAAGGTGACCAGATTTTTAACATTGGTAAAGTGGGACACCATTGGGGGGG